CCTGGGTCAGAAGCAGGAGATGTCAGTGTAATTCCACTCAGATCCCTCCCTGTGGTTCCTGCTTTCCTTACGCCCTTATCACTTCCCTGTTTATCTCTTGCCCAGGCCATTGCTTAGCCTTCTAAGTATCTGTCTCCATGCTCCAAACTCTCTGCTCCCATTTGGCCCATTGTAAGGAATCTGCCAGTAAATCAGCACAGTGCTGAGGTCACATATGTATTGGCAACTCTTAGGGCTAGATCCCGTTGAGGCGTCCCTGATTAAGACAGTTAGGGACCACCATAGGGACAAAAGGCAGATGTACTCTCAAGGCCTTAACTCATGATCTACTGCTCATTAAAAGTATTACAAAAACGGAATGAGTCTGAGCCCTCAATTATAACAGGGACTTAGAGAGGCAGCCTTTGCTAATAAGCACTGACTTCACTTGAACCTGCTGATGACTGATGGGTAACTAAAAAAGGATCAAGCTTGGCATCTCTGCCTTCATTTTGTATCTGTCTCCTTTATTACCTTAAACTGTGGGTCAGATTTCTGCTCACCATTGTACACAGGCGTGGTAAGCATTTAAGGAGGGTTCATTTAAAGCTGGTAATTGCCTGCTTCAAGGCTGAAGACACCAAGATAACAGTAAGTAGGTATTTTTGAGATTTGCAGGGACATTCTACTACTCATTTTTTCAACTTCCTTCTACAGCAGCACCTGGAAGTCTTCAGACAGTGTAGTAAACCTTCCAGGAACAGTGGAGCCTTGCAGAGAGGTCACCCCATTAGAAGAATGACAGTAAGCAGAAACAGTCATCTCATGGGAACCAAATTGCCCCTTTCCAGGTTCACAGGTCTGTTAATCATCCTGCAAAACAAACGGAGATTGCTCCCTCAAATGATAAGGATTTCTCCTTTCTCTGGAGCCACAGACAACTCACCCCCAGCAACCCAATAAAAGGTCTGTCCTTCCTGATTACCCACCCCCCAGTGCTCTCTCCCTTTTCCTTGAGGTACAGCCCCACCCCAACGAATTTTGCCTATATATTCATATTCCCGACTGATTCAGTTTCATTTCTATTGTTACTGGGTCAGCAGTTCTCATCTCCAACATCATGCTCCAACATCATGACCACATGACCAATTCTTGCTCCTTAGTTCACAATTTCATTTCTCCTTATTTTTTTCAATGTCTTTCTCTCCCTAGTGTTCTGCAAATTGTCTGTGCATTGGAACTTGCTTGTTCTTTCCTTCAGTTCATACAGGGCATTTACTATACCACATGTTTATGGCACAGTACTTTATAGTTTACCAGCATTCTTTTTTCCCCTGCCTTATTTATTACATTAGAAATAAATTACCTTAATATATATAGAATCCCACCCCCACACGTAAGCTATTTCAATTTTCTGTGTGTGTGTGGTACTGGGGATTGAACCCAGGGCCTTGTGCATGTGAGGCAAGTATTCTACCAACCAAGTTATACCCCCAGCCCTATTTCAAAACTAAATGGCACACTTATAAATAGCTCAAGATCAAGGAAGAAATCACAATAAAAGTAAATAAAAAGTGCTTTGAACTAAGTGTAATAAAAGCTTAAAATATCAGGATCTCTGGGATGAAGCAGTACTCAGATGAAAATCTATAACTTAAAGTACTCTATCAGAAAGAAGCTAGAATAACAATAAATGATTTTCAAATTATATAGTGGGAAGGAAAAAATAAGAGTAAGACCAGAAATATATGAAATAGAGAAGAAATAATACAGCTAAAATTTGATAAAAAATGAGCAAGTCTATTCAAGAAAAAAAGCAAGAACATAAAAATTAATATCAATGGAAAAGGAGCTATCAAAATAACACTACAGATGCTAAAAATATATTAAGGTCATATTATAATTGTATGCCAACATATGTGATAGCTTACATATCATCTACCAGCATTCTTGAAACAATTTTTGGAGCTCCTGTCATGTGCAAGGTACTGAGGTTAGCCCTGGAAATACAGTATTGAGCAAAGAGAACTGTTTCATGAGCTGTCAGAAGGATCTGTTAAGACCTTTGGGGCTAAAAGTCCTCTGTTCCAAAATAAGTGGATTTGGCATGAAAGATATTTTTCCACTGTCCTTCTTAACACCTCTGTCCTGCCTCCCCTGAAACTATGGTCTTCTAGCATCACACGGACAAAGTAGGGAAGATAGAGAACAAGACTGTGGCTTACGGATATCTAAAGGAAATTACCGACCTCGTGAGTATCATAGGAGCCACTGCTGGGATGCTGCAAGCCCAGTGCAAAGGAGCTTTAAACTTTTACAAAGCTATTTAGAGTTAATGAACACCTTCCTGTACTGCAACACCTTTATTTCTTTCTTGTTATAGTAACTAACCACACCCATAATAAACACTATTATTTTTGTGAGTTTAGGCTAATTTGATTTCAAAGCCTCAGTTTTCACTGATAACGTGTGGCTGGAAATCTCTTCCTTGTCATAAAATTTTAGGATGATAAACAAATTAAGGTATATAAAGAACTTTAAGGATTATAATGTGCAACACAAATGTATAGTATTATTAGTCTTTTATTAAATGCTACTTTCTTCAAACCAATCACATGACCAATACTTATTTCGGAAACAAGCAGTCAGTGACTTTGAACTTGTATGATCTCCTGCCATCATGCCCAGCCAGGAGAGGTGACTGAAATACTCTGGTCTGGATGGATAGGAAACAAGACATATAACACAGTTGCATAACAGAATGTACTGCACGCTACAAATATGAGCCACACATGTAATTTAAAATTTTCTAGTACCCGTATTTAAAAAGATAAAGACGCTGACAAATTTGAATAATATAAAGATTTAACCTACTATATCCAAAATGTTATCATTTTGATATGTAATTCATATACAAATGATTTGTGAGATATTTTTACATTCCCCTTTGACTGTATGATCATATGTGTATTTTATACTGACAACATATCCCATTTTTGTCTAGCCACAATTCCAGTGATCAACAGTCACATGGATACTGTGTAGGGCAACAAATATAAATGTAATTGTTAAGATCAAGTGGTAGTGCGCTCGCCTGGCATGTGTGAGACCCTGGGTTCGAGCCTCAGCACCACATTAAAAAAAAAAAAAAAGATCTGTGCAACACTTTAGGGTTTCCCAAAAGTTTTTGACATTTAAATCTCATGTATCCAGGGTAGGTGTAGGTTTACCATCTTCATTCTGTATATATGAGAAGCAGCAGCAAATTATGTGTAATTCTTTCAAATATCCAGCTACTAAATGATGAACTCAATCCTTGTCTTCAAACCTGGGCACTTTCCTCTTTGCTTTCTTTTCTAAACAAGCAAACCAAGAGCACACTGGAATATTATCACAAATGTAGGTTCCAAGACTCATTGCAATGGTACAGAAAAGGAATCCATTTTTCTTTTTTTGTATGGGGGATTGAATACAGGGGCACTTTACCACTGAGTTACATTCCCAGGCCTCTTTTATTTTTTTCTTTTGAGTCAGTGTCTCATTAAGTTGCTGATAGTCTCATTAAATTGCTAAGGTTGTCCTCAAATTTGCAATCCTCCTATCTCAGCCTCCCAAATCACTGGGATTATAAGTATGCATCACCACGCAAGATTAGGAAAAAAAAATATTTTTTCAAAATTGACCAACAATTTCGCGTCGTGTCTCTGCTCAAACTCCTGCCCAGTTTGAAACTCAGCAGAATCTATTAGCTGTTATTCTAAAAATGTGTGTGCTGGATTCGCAGCTACGAATGAAAATGTCACAGGGCAAGAATTTTAAAACCTTTATATTCTCTATCATGTAGTGATTTACTTTTTATTCGTTACTTAGTTCTTCAGCATCCCGAATGTAGGAAATTAAGATTCTTCTCTTCCAGTTTAAAAAGCACAAGTATGCCAAATATTCATGTCAAAGGATAACCAGACTCAGCCAGCTGGCTATCAGGTAGAGAGTCCTGTTCAAGATTACAAGATGGCAAGCATGTAAAAGGTCAGGGGCTGGACAGGGATAGGCTAGCTCTAGAATTGGTGCCTTAAGAAGTACCCATCCCTAGACTGATGTTCCCGAACAGACTGTGCTAAGGGCTGCCCTACTGGAAGGCAGAGTTGGGCGTCGGGGACACAGAACCACTCTTAGGAGCCCAAAGGGCCCGGCAGTGGCCAGCTTCTCTTTCAGACCTGGCCAACTCTTCCTCCTTCGGGTTACCAGTCCCTTTCCTGACGCTGTGGGAGAACGGGTGCGGAGTGGTGGATGGAAAGTAACAAAAGGCCTTTAAAACTTTATCTGCTGGTCTGCGTCCTCGTAAATACCCTTCACGGATAACTAAATTAGGTCGGCAGTAAGAGCTGACTGTTTCCTTCTCAGGACAGCCTGGAGGGTTTTTCTTGTTTTGCAAAAGGCTTCTACTCCCTCCTGGTTTCGAATATTCACACAAGCGCAGCTGAAGATCCGCGCAGGTGTTTTGTGCACGCGTGTGATTTTCGCCATCGCCAGGGTCCCACATTAATTTCCTTAGGACGCCCCGGGACCCCAGGTTTGTGCGCCGAGCTCCCGGAGCCCTGCCGTGTGTGTGCGTCACCGTCAGCGTAACCCTGCACACAGCCGACGGGAGCATGGCGCACGCGCAACGCGGAGCTGCCAGCAACTTCCGGACGTCCAGGGCCGGGGAGGGGAGTGACGAGTGGGGCCAATTCGCGACGCCACTTTCTGACTCCAGCACTGGGGATCCAGTACCCATCCTCGGAAGCAGGGTCCGGGAGGAGGGAGGCTCGGCCGGGACCGGGAAGAGCCGCTAAGGAGCACAGAAGCCCAGTCCGAGGAGTTGCCCTGCCCGGGCCAACCACGGACCAAGGCGGTTCCCAGAGCCACGCCCCCTCGCGCGCCCCGCGAGCCAGCTAGACTGCGCAGACGAATACGTGACGCGGGGCGGCGCCGAGCAGGAGGGAGGGAGGGAAGATGAAGGAGGGCGGGGGAGCAATCGGCGGGACCAGCGGCGGCGGTAGCAGCAGCATGGCCGCTCTCTATGGGGGTGTAGAGGGGTGAGTGCCGCCCGACGCCGGGAGCACGGGAGGGGCGGACTCGGACATTCCAGGCTGGAGGGCGGGGCGGAAGGTCATGGCCAGCAGGGTGTGCAGGCAGCCTCGCACCTCAGGATCCGGCCACTGTGGGCTTCTGGGTTGCAGGGCCTTACGGAGAAAGGGTGTGTCACGTGCAGGGCCAATCTTAAGTGCGAGGCGTTGTCCCTTGCAGGGCCTCGGTGAGTGCCAAGGCCACACCCCAGGGGGTCCTTTGTATTTTACAGCGGAACCACGCCCCTTTCGTCCACAGACAACTCACTGGACAGCCCACTCGGCGTATTCCCTCTGGGAAAGCAGCTTTTTCCTCATTCCCAGATCCAGAAGGAGTTTTTGCAGAACAGGTGTCAGGTGTGAAGTTTCTGGGTTGGAGATAGCAAGCTGGAGTGAGTGGAAGCTGGGACAAAGATCTTTGCCTGAGGGTATCTGGGAGCTGGAACAGCTGCGCGACACAGTGTTCACACGTTCTGGTGCCCATGCCCCAAAGCTTTCATTTCTCTTGGCACCACAGGCACCTCATGCTGGTTTGAATCTTCTGTTACTCTATTTTTCTGCTAAGAATCTTGTCTGTAGGACTTTCTGTAGTAGCTCTGCCCTGGGTATAACTTTGGGTAATACCTCTGCCCTCTCTGAGCTTCAGTTACTGAGGACAGAAAGGAACAAGATGATTGATTACCAAATTCCCTGCCAGTGACAAAATTCTGTGAATCTGAATGTGTTGACTCAGGATATAATAGAAAGTGACTTGTTTCAGAGCTTTTGAATCTGATTGAATTCACTTCAGTGTATGCCTTATCTCACTGCTGACTTACCCAAAAGTCTTTTCACATGAATTGTGAAGGTTGATCTCCCCCATCCTGTACCATCCTGAATTTGTAGCACTTTTTTTTTTAAAACCTCAGTCAGTGTAGCAGTTTGCATTCATCCCTGTAACACTCATCTATAAGCTATAACCCATTTTTTTCAGTTTGTCAAGAGATTGTTTTGGATGTTGAATCTACCACTTCACATGCATTGACTACTGTTTGAAACCTCGTGTCTTCTTTGAATCCGATGAGAAGGTCTTCAGTGTCCTCTCCTAAGACATTCCTAAAAGTACTGATCCATAAGGAAACACACATCCCATCACCACAGATCTGCCTCTAAACTACCATTTTCCCCAGTAATCAGCATTGGAGGGTTTAATTGATTGTGTGTAAATTCTCCCTGCCATCTGGTGAGCATTTCTTATAAAGATGTCTTGAAGACCTTGGCAGGTGGAGCTGGGTCTTGAAAGGCAGCCTTTAATAGTTATGAGAGGAACAGAGAGATGTGCACATTTCTTTAGCTTTTTTTTTTTTTTTTTTTTTTTGTTAACCAAATGTCTGTGCCAAGCTGTGTGCTAGTAATGAGGCTAGATAAATGATCCAGAGCTTGGGCCAGTGGAGCTGTTAAATCTATTTAGAAGTAGTCACAAGCAACTGAACACATGCTTGATGCAGAGGAAAATTTTAATAGTTATGGGGACACTGTGAGGGTTTAACTAACATAGCCTTAACTAAGTGGGGTGGGCCACACATCAGAAAATTTCAAGGCCCAGATGATGGATATTCAAAGGGAAGCTGAGGGAGAACTGTGTTTCAGTTTCAAGACAAACATCAAACCACAGAGGTGGGTTTGAGAGTGGTGATTGGGATTAATGAAGCTATCTCTATCACACTGGGCTTTGCCTGTAACAGGGACTGCACTGGTTTAGCTSTACTGCAGGTTTTTTCTAAGCAGAACTAAGTGCCCTCTTGTGTTCTGTAGGGGAGGCACACGGTCCAAGGTCCTTTTACTTTCCGAGGATGGGCAGATCCTGGCAGAAGCAGATGGACTGAGCACAAACCACTGGGTAAAAAGCCACACTGAGGGGACCAGAGGGCTTGGTTCTGATTTTATTCTCTAATTCCAACTGAGGTGGTGGCTGGGATTCATAGAGCAACTGATAGGGATGACATAGGTCTTGCAAGCCTTTGTAACTCCTCTTCCCTTGATTGGGCCAGCTAATCGGGACAGAAAAATGTGTGGAGAGGATCAACGAGATGGTGAACAGGGCCAAACAGAAAGCAGGGGTGGATCCTCTGGTACCTCTTCGAAGCTTGGTGAGTCCGGGGTAGAGCCTTGGAATTAAGCCAACAGCAACACTAAGACAGGTGGCAAGTTTAGACTGGATGAACTTGATAACTATGGATGAGAAGGCCTCCAAGGTCTAGTCCCTGGTGTTGAAACTCGTGATCTTACCCATTCTCATGGTTTCAGCTGCCACCTTCAACCACAAGTATATTGAAAGAGTAGGATTAGGGAGAGCCACTGAAACCTTGGTTTAAATCCCAGCTTTACCACTCAGTATCTGTTTGATCCTTAAGAAGTGGGTCTTACTTTCTCAGCCCGTTTCCTCACTTGGAAAACATTGCTAGCAGTAGCTAGAGTTATTGGGAAAAGTACAGTGATACATCCCAAAAGGGTTAACACAGAACCTGACCCATATGCACTCATTATGTGTAAGCTATTCTTACTCTCAGCTTAGATCTTCCTCCCAAGTTGATGCAGCTCTGGCTACTCCTTGTACACATAAGTGAGATGTTCTTTGGACACAGCCAAACCATCACCCCTTACCTTGTTTCTCTGCCTGATTTTTCTAAGAGCATTGTCTAAGCTCTAAACATAGCATTGTTAAATTCCTCTTTCCTCTGTCCATCCGCAGTCTGGGCTGTTCTTGGAGCCAGGGCCTTCTGAGGGGTGGTGGTGTGGGATGGAGGGACTGAGGCTGGATGAGCAGGGTATAGCCAGACATAGAGCAGGAGGCAGGCATCAGGAGGGTTGGGATGAGAAAGGCACTGTGTCTGGAGCTCTGCTTGCTTGCTCATCTCCCATGTGGCCCAGGGCCTATCCTTGAGTGGTGGGGAGCAGGAGGATGCACTGAGGATGCTGACGGAGGAGCTGAGGGACCGATTTCCCTACCTGAGTGAGAACTACTTTATCACCACGGATGCTGCAGGCTCCATCGCTACAGCTACGCCAGATGGTGAGGAGGTGGATGGAGGGGTGAGGTCGAGAACTGGTTTTTTCTTGGGAAAGCCCCTTAGAGGTAGCTGGCAAAACTAGTATTGCAGTATCTGGAAGGAAGTCTCTGTGTCACCGCTCTTCACCCAAATCCTTTCATGATCAGTTTAAGCCTCTGTCAAAGCAAAACTTGGAAGATAGAAGTAAAGTGGGCAAGAAATGTAATCATGATGGTAAGCAAATCAAACATAAGACTTCATTGCAAAGGAGGGAGCCCTTGGTGGCAGCCAGTGAGAAGCAGGCTGAGGGTATCCTAGAGCACAGAGAAGAAAGTTGGGGAGCTCTGTGATTTTGTAGTGCTAGATCACAGGATTGGCATTTGCTAGCTCTACCATCCTGGAGAAGTCATGGAACTTTTATATTTGTAACTTTTATATTTATAAGGAACAATTATATTTATAAGGTGCTAACTAAATATTACTATAAGAACAATGTCTAGCACAATCTATGGCACATAGTAGGAACTCAGTAAAGCAGGTAGACTCACCTGAAGACTGGCTTGGCAAGGAGCCACATTCCCTTAAGGAGATGTAGACCATGTTCCTCAGTCCCTAGAGACAGGCTCTATGATTGCAGTTTCTCCGAGGCCCAGGCCCTCCCCTTTAGGCAGGAAACCTACTGGGCTCAGTTTTCTCCCCTGTAGGACTGGGTGGTAACCCTTTTGCCTGGGATATGTGTAGTTTCTGTCCTATCTTCTTCCACAGTCGGAAGCTGTTGCTCTGTACAGAGCCTTGGCCACACTGAGCCTTCCCTGCCCCTTCCCCAGGTGGGATCGTGCTCATCTCTGGGACAGGCTCCAACTGCAGGCTCATCAACCCTGATGGCTCCGAGAGTGGCTGCGGCGGCTGGGGCCACATGATAGGAGACGAGGGCTCAGGTGAGCTCACACTGGGCCTGGATCCTTTCCTTCCTGCAGCTCCCCATCTTCTCCCCTGCTCTTGGCCTACTAATCCCTGGGGTTTTTCTGGGGATAGCCATTCCAAGTGCAGGGTAATGGCTGACAGATCATAAGAGTTGCAATTGCTGGACTAACTGCTGACATTGCTCTTCACTAGTGATTTTGCTCCAGGGTTCAGATTCACATCTCAGCACAATGGCTGTGGCCTACCTGTGTTGACTTTTGGAGACCTTAGGGAAGAATTGAGATTATGAAAGATCATAGATGCCATACCAGTCCGCTTCTGGGAAAGAGATAGAAACTCCTCCCACCATGGCCTCTTTACGGGTAGCATGTGTACATTTTCTCAGGGGCCCTTGGGGCCCAGCTCGAGTTGTGACTCTGGCACAATTGTGAGATCTGATTGACCCTGTCTTTGTGTAGGAGATGCTGTGATACAGATTCACCTATTCTGTCTTCCAGCTCCAGCTTGCTTTTATCGGGGTCAGTCAGATACAATTTCATTCAAAGCACCTCCTTCTCCCCAGCATCCCCACCCCCAGGAATCAGGAAATGTAATTTTCTATAAAACCCAAGCAGATCACTAACCCTGTCTGGGTCTGAGTTTCCTTCCTGGTGAGCTCCAAGAGATTGCCCATCTTCTTAGCACTCTCTGCTCTCTGCAGCCTACTGGATTGCACACCAAGCAGTGAAAATAGTGTTTGACTCCATCGACAACCTAGAGGCGGCTCCTCATGATATTGGTTATGTCAAGCAGGCCATGTTCAACTATTTCCAGGTACTTCCCTGGCCCCAGTGAATGTGTCTACCTAGGGTAGGGCAGTGGGGGACCCTGAGACAGAGCAGTTGCAGGAGAGGGATTGGGTGGGCCAAAGTGGGTCAGAGCTGCAAGGTGAAGTATAGGTAAGAACAGAATTTAGAATGCTGAAGACAGTGCATTCCAAAGGTATCATGAGAAAGCTGTGGTTTGAGAACAAGTGGTTAGCCAGGCTTCATTCTTGGGCAGCTAAAACCCACTGAAACAGCTTTCTAGGCTAACATGAAAATTGCAAGTGAGGTCAGGAAGGAGAAATAGCAGGTAGAGTCTGAGCAAGATCCTTGAATGCTGATCTGCTCTCTGGCCTTTATGGGTCAGGAAAGCCTATTAAGAAGGGAGCAGAGGAATTTCAGAGGGAGGCACAGCCACCTACCCAGCACACTGGGGACTGACTCCTCATCTATGCTGGGCTCAGTTGTGGGTTGAGAGAAACAACTGCCTTTAATGGAGCCAGTGATGAAAGGTGGGAGGATGTGGAAGGAAGAGGAGAAGGAAGACAAATTTATTTAATAGCTCATCTATCTGCATGAGGGCCAGTCTGTCTTTTGGGGGTCACTTAGGCAAGCTGGACCTAAAGCTGAGGAAGGCGATTAGAGACATTGGAAGGTAGGGCATGTCTTCTTAAGGCTGAGGGATTGGTGATTAAAGAGTAACCCTGTCCTGTGCCACAGTGAGGAATAGGGAGGGACCAGGAGAAAACACCTCCTTAGCAGTTTAGTTGTCTCACCCAGTCGATTGTGTCTGCACTCCACCAGCACGCCTGCTGCTCCCTCTTATATTTTTCAGTCATTCTTAGAAAGTTGTTACCAAGGTTTGCTGTGAGCTCTGGCACATGCTTGTAGGCATAAGAGGCTGAGGCAGGAGGATCATGAGTTCAAAGCCAGCCTAAGCAACTTAGTGACGCCCTGAGCAACTTAGCAAGATTCTCTTCCAAAAAATAAAAAAGGGTTGGGGATGTGGCTCAGTGGTTGTGGTTAAGTGCCCCTGGATTAAAAAAAAAAAAAAAAAA